CACACACACACACCCCGTGTAAAAAAACACACGCCACAAAAATTTTCCTGATAAAAGTCTCAGTGAGCCCAGTTCTTTCCTGCAGATGGTTGGGATTTTGACGAGTTGGCACTTTTCAGCACAGAAGTGTTTAATCAGATCTTTCCTGACCAGTTCTGCAGCTGTGTGCCATGCACCGAGCACTCCTCTCCCGGGGAGGAATCGGTGAGCCAAGCATACTACCGAAACACTTCCTGCTGCTTCCAAACCAAAAATTAGAGCTTCCTACAAGAAACGGCAAAAATACCCCCATTTAAAAAAAAAAAAAAAAAAAGCAGCGTGGTTTGAGTGGTTTTCATGTGAAAATCTGAATCATTTACTACATCGTGTAAATTAATTTCCAGCATCAAAGAAAAGGCTGCCTTTTTTGCTTCCTGGAAACTTTGCAACTTCCCTATGTTTTGGTAGCACCTTATTTTCAGCCCTCGACAGCTCTGCGAAGCTCTACACTTTTTCACAAAAATGTAAAAAAAACCATTTTCAGTTAAGTTAATAAAGTATTCATATAATCTATTAAAGGATTTCTGAAATTCCTAGCTAGTAACTCGCAGAGGCTATGGGAGCTTTTCCCCTTTTTCATTCCCAGCGTGGTTAAGGTTTCAGGGGATGCTGTGTGAGAGCGAGCCAAACTGCGCAACCTTGGCGTGCTGAAAGGAGAGCACTGCAGATTACCCCTAACAGACTTTCATGAATTTCAACAAATCTAACCCAAATAACCTTTGGTGCACTGCTCAGAATACACCGCATCTTTAAGCACCCTAACTGGTACAACCAAATCCCTCAGACACTCCGAACACAGAGCAACAAGGCTACGACATTCGCTGAGCTGCTTCAGAGGGGTTTCCCCACTGAGGGTGCACATTTGGATAGGTGAGTTATGGTGTCCTGCACTTCACAGAACAACTTGCCACCTCCAAACCTGTTTGAGATACACGTGTCATTAAGGCACAGCGTATCAGCACCCGAAGGAGAGCCAGTGTGGGTACTTGGTAAATACCAGGCCTCTGCTGGCATTGTTGGCAGAAGGAAACCAGAACTGCTGAGCAGCTCCAGCCCACCCCAAGCTCTCCTTCCCCTGCTTGGAAACACACTGGCAGGAAGCCCAAAGCTGCCAAGAGCAGGAGGCAAGGGCTGCAGCACAGTGTGGAGAACGGGACTAATGGGGAAGGTGGGAGCTCTGAAGAGCATGAAGCTCAGGGTTGAAATCACAGAGGTTTTGGGGAGTACAAGGTCTTTGGGGGACAAGGACAGGCAAACTGGCCCAGTGACTCCTTGGCACTCTGTTTTTCTTCCTGGAGGGAACCCCCTGCACTCAGCACAGTGCATTTTGCAGGGATCCTCTGAAATCTGTTGGTGTGGGAAACAAGCCATCCAAGGTGCAGCAAGGAAGGGCCGGCAAACACAAACCCTAGAGGTGCCGCCTGTTGCACCACACCTTGCAAGCTGGGGCTTCCCAGGCGTGGGGCTGTCCAGAGCAGGAGGCGGCTTTCTCACCCCGCAAACTGCAAAAACCGGTTTTACATGTGCCACAGCCTTCCCACCCCACACTCATGAGTAAACCTGCTGTGATTGCAAAAGCCAGGTATCCAGTTCACATGCTGAGGAGGCATCTCTGCAAATGGGTTTTGTGCCTGTTCCCCCAGTGAACTGGCACTGCCTTTGCTAGGGATGCTGGACTGCAGCCACATTCAGAAAGCACAAGCAGGGACATGCACTTTGGTCAAGAGGGCAAAGACTTGAGGGATTACTGTAGGCCAAGCCTCTGCTAAATCAACCATCGTGCCTGCCTGTCCCATGGGAGCAATAGGAACATACACCCCGCCCCCCCGACTGCTGCACAGAGGAAGCTCGGCTGTGTGTATATGGGAACATCCCCTAGCACTGCACAGGCACCATTCCACTCCTGACAGCTTTTCTAAGTCCAAAGCTATCTGTGCTCACAGCTGGGAGAGGCTACGAAAGGAGCCCACAGATTTAAGAAGGAATGAGGGAACAAGGGGTCCTCACCCTGGGATGGACAAAAGCCAAAAGGGAAAGGGCTGCTCTCGCCCCGCAGAAATGAGGAGGAAGGAAGCGGTGCCTGGTCATTCCCAGGGCAGGAAGGGTAGCGGGAGCAGAGCAGACTGGCTGTCGCTCTGCCCTTCTTCCTCCCCCCCCGGGCAGGGACACAGCCTG